TGAAGCCAGCTGACACGGAGCGGGGAGAGAGAAGAAGCAGGGACAGCAAGGGTTGGGGAGGTGGTGACCCCCGCCGTCCGGTCAGGGCTGCCATGTTGGACACCTCTGAGGTCACCATTCCTTTTGTAACTCATGAGAACAGTGCCCCCTGGGGGTGTGCAGGCGGAGCCATTTGTGGCTACACACAACGGCCTTGGCCCTTGTTCAAAGAGAAATGATGGGGCCTGGGCTAGGGCCATGGCAGCAGAGGGGACAGAAAAGGCCAAGCCCAGGGATGTCGATTTCTCTGGTGGGATCGGCAGCATGGGTGCTGTGTGCTCGAAGACTCCACGGGGCCCTAGGAGCGTGGCGGGGCTGGAGGGTTAGGGTCAGGGGTTCAGCTGGGACTGGCCAAGGGACAAGTGACTATGGTCCACAGACAGGAGATGTCCAGCAGGATGAAGAGGGTTTTCACCTTGTCCCCACGGAGGTGGCTTGGTGGGAGTTGATCACACAGAGAGCTTGAGTATAGAGAGAAGGGACTGAGGACAGCCCGGGTCAGCCCCTGTACCCAGGGGACCCCCAGAGACCCCGCTGCGAGCAGGAGGAGTCACGGGACTGTGGGCCCAGGAATCAGTGAAGGTGCTTTGCAGCCGCCAAAGTACTCTCCTCACACCCAGAGAGGTCGGGGAAGAGCGCCCCTTCACAGATGCGGAGGGAACTTAAGGCCAGAAGGGTAGGCGGGACCGGGCTAAGGGGGCTCCTGCTAGATGGGCCGAGTCCTCGGCACTGCCTGCCGCAGGGTGACGGGGCTGGGCTGGTCAGAGGTGCCAGCCTCCCTTTCCTGCGTCTAATGAAGGCCTGGCTTGTTAGTCATTGTTGTTATTCCTTTTGAGGTATAATTTATAGACAATGAAATCCATCCTTTTAAGTGAATAGCTTGGTGAGTTTTGACAAATGTGTAAGTTGTATAGCCACTACCACAGTAAAAATACTGAGCATTTCTGTCACCAGAAAAGATTTCCTTTGTGCTGCTTTCTTGTCATCTCTCTTCCTCCTCCCCAAACTCTGATCCCCACTGATCTTTGAAATCAAACTCTTGAAGCTTTTGGGTCTGGCTTCCTTCACTTCTCTTGCTCTCACCGTTCCTCCTTACTTTATGGTGGTCTGCTCATTGTACTGCAGGGTTGTATTCGGGGCGGGGGGGATGTACCACACTTTATCTGTCCGTTCACCAGCGGAAGGATATTGGGTTGTGTCCAGTCTTGGGTTGTTATGAATAAATCTGCCGTGCATTTATTCGTTGTGCGGGTATGTTTTCATTTCTGTGGGGTAAGTGCCCATGAGTGTGATTGCTGGGTCGTGCTGTGGGTGTTTAACTTTATGAGAAACTGCCACACCATTTTCCACAGTGGCTGCACCGTTTTTGCATCCTACCAGCCGTATGTGAGGACAATGTATGAAAATATGACTTGCCTTTCTGTGTTTTGGTGGTAATACACGTATCATAGAGGCAATATAATATTGAATATAATAGAATGCCGCTGCGCTACATGTAATGATTACAGGTGGTACATGGATGACCATTTGTTTCCGTATTTTACCAACTATGATTGTATTGCAATGCTCATTTAAAAAATGTACCCCACTCACCAGACCCATGCTTTCTTGGCTATTACTGCTGAATGGCCAAGACATAGCCCTGCAGTTAGATCACCTGGGTTTGGCTCCCAGAGCCTCTTCCTGCTTGATGTGACCTTCAGTCTCTCTGAGGTGCAGATTCATCACCAGTAAAATGGGCTGCTAATATCCCTTTCTACTGCTTAAGTTTGCTGAGAGGGTGAAACCAGTAAGTGTGTATCTAAAGCCCCCACTTCACAGCCTGGCATACGTCAGCACTTGATAAAGTGCTGCCATTACTATTAGATGGGTGTCCCCTTGTGTGATGGGTACGTGTTTTACGCGCACTGTTTTGTATGCCCATGTGTACATGAATCCAGGCCTGTGCGCACCGTGCCTATGGAAGGCTGAGATGCCCAGTCTGAGGGATCAGGGAAAGGATGAGCCTCTCTTCCTTCTCTGCCTTCTAGGGTTGGGCTGCCTTCATGTGCTCGCAGGTGTGCGTGTGCGCACTCATGCACGTGCATTCTGAGGCTACGGGTGTAGGTGCACATTGTGCCTCCAGGGACCAGGGCCCCCCTGTCTCCCTTCTCCAGCGGTTCTGCTCTCAGCCAGGGTGGCTCGGCTCATGCTGCCCTTGCCCATCCCACATTCTCCCCGGAAGGGAGGCCCCGAGAATGATCGTTCCAGGGCCTGGGTCTTTAGCCCCTGGGTGTCTCCACCATATTCACTCAGAGCCAGTGATTTCTATACCTTTACCCAGGGCCCCAGGGCCCCAGGTGGGACAGTAGGAAGAAGAGGACACATTTTGAAGGAATCTGAGGTCCTGCAGTTGGTCTGTGGATTGGAATCTGAGCAGAGGTTGGGAAGAGAGGCTCTGATCAGCTGCTGGGCTCAGAAGGTTTTTAAACGTTGCTTTATTGAGGTATATTTGACATGCTAAACCACATGTATTTAAAGTGTACAATTGAATGGGTTTTGACATAAGCATACTCTCATGAAACCGTCACCGTAATCAAGGTAGTGAACACCTCCGATACCCCCAAAGCCCCCTTGTGCCCACGCCAATCCCTCCCTCTCTCCCCCCACCATCTGCAGGCCACCAATCTGCTTGTTTTCACTGTAGCTTAGTGAGTGTTTCCTAGAGTTGATACAAATGGCATGAGGTGGAAGGAGAAGGTTTTGAAAGAAATGGAAGCCCTGCAGGTGCTCCATGAATTGTGCATGCGTTTTTTTAAACTGACTCATTTCACTCGGAATAATTATTTTGAAATTGACCCATGTTGCTGCCCACATCAGTAGTTCATTCCTTTTTTACAGTTAAGTATCATTCCATGGTACAGATGTACCACGATTTGTTATCCATTTGCCCAACAAGGTATTTTTTTTATGCTTTCATTTCTGCATAGGTATACATCCCTAAACAATATGTACCAAAGGTTGCTTTTTTTTTTTAATTAAGAATGAAGCTGTGCCTGAGGCTGGCATATGCCCAGTGGGTGCCTCTTCCAGACAGGGCACCTGTAGCCAATGCCACCCTTTGCCCTTCACCCCACTGTCCCCTTCCCTGGAATGACCTCCCCTGCTCTGCACTGTCCAGGGGCCACTCAGCCTCTTCCAGGCAGCCTTCCCAGACTGTCTGGGTCTCCTCTGAGCAATTCCAGCCCTCACTGCTTGATGGTCTCCCAAACCCTTGAGCACTGTTTGGCAGTTCCAGTCTTGTCCCCTTGGTAAGAGCAAGGCAGCGACGTGTGCCACTCCCATTCCCCCCCTCATGGGCCTGGCATGCAGAGAGCGGCTCCGGAGAGGTCTGGGGGGTGAGCTATAGGTTATCCGGTTGGCCCTGAACAGTGGCCTCTGGTGTCTGGGGCCCCCTGGGAAGGAGGAAGCAAAATGCAAAGTGATGCAAAGTGATACAAACACAGCCTGGACTGAAATCTGGGAGTCCTCGCTCCCACCCTCCTCCCTCCCGGTCTTCCTCTCTTTCCTAGAAACCCCTCCTTTCCTTTAGGGAGCGGCAGGCTTCTGGGCAGGCCTGATGCTGACCAAACTTTCTGCATTATTAAATTCCTGCCTCGGAGGGACCAAAATTTGAAACATCCCAGGCCTCTGTCCTGTTTTGTGGCTTCCTACAACCCCACCTTCGTCTCCCCTCCTCCATGTCTGTCCTCAAGATGATGGGGCGGGAGGGCGCTGCCCTTCCGGATGGCTGGCGCACACATCTTAGGGAAGAAATAACACCCCCCCACCCCTGCCAAGGCTGTGCCTTCATGCGGCCAGTGACGCTGATACATGTCTTAGAGGCACAGGGTAGAGGCCGCCCATTGTGCCAGAGAGGGGAAGTGACTTCCCCGTGGTCACAGGGCCAGCCTGACAGACTCCAGCCACCTGACACCTTGTCTTGTGTTCTTTCCTCTCTGTGCTTTGTGTCCTGGACACCGCCCTCACCTGTTTGTAAAGGGCCTTTTCCTGGACCAAGCCCTGTCCCGCACCCTATCCCTGTCTGTAGAAGAAAGAGCTGTAGCTTGCTGGCCAGCGGTTCTTGAGTCAGATCTGAGCTCTCCTGTTGGGAAGCCTGGATGAAGAGGCCACCTGTGTCCAAGACACAGGCGGGGCAGGGTGAAGCAGGCAGGCAGCTGGGGCGGAGGAGAGTGGCCCTGAAGGAAGGAAGAGATGGGCATGGTCCTGGGGCTGCAAGGCCTGCCCCACCCACCTTCCTGGTCTCGAGTGGCAGCCCAGCCTTGTCGGTCGAGCCCCCATGCCTTCTCCTTCTTCTCCCCTCCTCCAGGAGACCTTTCTGAGAGGGGACCTGCGCGTTTGTCCGTCTGGCATTTATCACTACCTACCATTTCTATTGTGGTTTCTGTCCACATCTTATCTCCCTTCCTGAACTGTTGGCTTCTTGAGAACAGGATATATATATATTTCATGCCTGTACCTTCAGTGCCTAAGACAGGGCTTGGTATTCAGGAGATACATAATATTTGTTGACTAAAATAAATGATGGTGGTAGTGAGTGACAATGTGTGGTGGTAGATGTCGGTAGTGAATGCTGATGTGTTACAAAGGTTGATGGAAGAAGGCAGATGGTAGTAAACACTAGGGAGAAATAGTAGATGGTAGTTGTTGCTGGCCACGGTGGAGGTGATGGGTGAAGGATGAGGGTGGGATGAGGGCAGACGATGGCAGATAATAAAGGGTGGTAGACGGCGAAGCGGGACATAGTCGTGGATGGCAGCAGGAGAAGGACGGTGGCGGAAGGCGGCCGTGGTGGTGGAACTCCTACTGGGTGACCTCTGCTTATGTCCCCTCCACTGCCCTTCCCTAAGAGACCCTAGTCCAGCTCTTGGACTGCCAAGTTCTCTGACACGGTGGCTTTTATTTATTTATTTGCTCTGCAGACTCCATCGGAGGTTCCTTCCCTGTCGCCTCTCACCGATGCCACCACAAGCAGAAGCACGGCCCGCCGGTACTGCCCGGCGGGGTGCTCCTGGCCACGCCACTGCTCTTCCACCCACACACCAAGGGCTCCCAGATCCTCATGGACCTCAGCCACAAGGCCGTCAAGAGGCAGGCCAGCTTCTGCAACGCCATCACTTTCAGTAACCGCCCGGTCCTCATCTACGAGCAAGTCAGGCTGAAGGTGGGGCTTCCCCCCCACTCTCCGTCACCGCACCCCTCGGGCCTCTGAACTTTATCCCCTCTCCAACCCTGGCACTGCCTTTTGCTACAGCCATTGCTGCGCCCTGCACCTCCTCTTTCCTCTCTGTTGCCACTTCTGCTCTTCCTCGTCCTTCCACTTTCTGTTTCCCCTTCCTCCTTTCTCAGCCTTCCCTGCATGGCAAAGAAGGAAGAGAGGAGGGAGTGGCCATGGCGACCACTAGCTCTCGCCGGGCTGGCGGGAGGTCTCCTGGGGAGGGGAAGGAGCCCAAACGGCAGGCAAGCTGGGCAGTGTGGCTCTCTGTGGGTGTCTCCTTCGGGGTGGTCTGCAGAGAAGGGCACGCTCCCTTCCCCTGGGGCTCGCTGAAGTGGGGGAGAGGCTGGGCTGGGCTGCGGGCTGTCTGAGGCCACCCCCTTACCATCCAGATCACCAAGAAGCAGTGCTGCTGGAGTGGGGCGCTGCGCCTGGGCTTCACGAGCAAGGACCCCTCCCGCATCCACCCCGACTCGCTGCCCAAGTACGCCTGCCCCGATCTGGTCTCCCAGAGTGGCTTCTGGGCCAAGGCTCTGCCTGAGGAATTTGCCAACGAGGGCAACATCATCGCCTTCTGGGTGGACAAGAAGGGCCGTGTGTTCTACCGCATCAACGACTCGGCCGCCATGCTCTTCTTCAGTGGGGTCCGCACGGCCGACCCGCTCTGGGCCCTGGTGGACGTCTATGGCCTCACACGGGGCGTCCAGCTGCTTGGTGAGTGCCCACTCTCTTTGGCCCCTTAGGTGCAGGGCACACATCTAGGTGCTGTGACTCGAAGCGGGGCTAAGACTCTTGTGGCTGCTCCCGGACCCCCAGCATGACTCCCAGTCCAGGATGCCCCGCAGCTCAGTGCACTTGTACACAGAGACTCCGGGTACAAGTCAGCCCCCTGGCAAATCAGCTGTGTCTCCAGAAGGAGCCTGTGTGAGCTTCAGCTTTCTCATCTGTAAAATGGGTTGGCGGGAAGACTAAATTCTGTTAAAGAGGCTGCAAGCAGAGTGCCCAGCACAGCCCGGGGTACCGCATGAGGGGCCCCGCCAGCGCCCATTCTTCCCGCCTCCCTTCCCTGCAGAGAATAATGCCGTGGAGGTGGTTGAAGACTTTCTTTTTCTTTCTTCCCTTTCTGACTTCAGAGCCTAGAAGCAGCAAAGCTCTTCTTTTCAGAACACCTGTATTGGAGCAGAAAAGACGGGGGTGGGGGCAGACTGTGAATGTGAAAACAATCGTCAGAAGGCTTGTTTGTTGAGTTCCCAAAACCAGGAAGCTGTTTTAATTAATTGGTAGTGTGGGAAGATTCTGGTTTTCAGCTCGCTAAAACTGGTTTTACATTCACACGGACGAGGTAAGGCTCCTTCAGGTCTTGGCAAGCGCAGCAGAGAGCTCAGGGCGGCCCGAGGCGAACATGCTTCCCATCCTTCTGTGACATGGGGCACCTGCAGGGCCCCTCCGTGCGGGTGACGGGAGGGCCGTGGCTATGCTCCTGACTGCAGAGTCAGGCAGACCCAGGCTGGCCCCGGCCCCTCCCTGTTTGTGTAGCTAGTGCTATAGGACCTCAGCTTCTGCATCTCTAAAATGGGGGTAATAATAAGTCTTTTCAGGGTTCTTTTGAAGACCCAGAGCCAAGTTACGTGTGGCTGACGCACAGTAGGTATTCACTGACTGCCAGTCATCTCTGCTCATCTTGGAGTGGGCAGTGCTTAACTCGAGGTTCAAGTGAACTCCTCCCTGCTGCTCTGGTGTCCTCAGGGCTCCACGCTTCAAGGCACTGGGGTCCCAAAGCTTGAGCCAGTGCTCCTGCCTGGAAACTTCTGTTTGCGCCTCAACCTTCTCATTTGTAAAGTGGTTGGGAATACTACGACTTAGCCCAGGACTTGGCCACATGGTGGGAGACAGAAGAATGTCTCAGCTTTTGAGAAAGTCAGTCTTGTTGGGGGGTCAGGGGGTAAAGGAAGAGAGGGCAACATTCTCGCTTTTCCTCAGCAAAGAATGCCCTTTCTCCCAGTGCCCAAAGATCAAAATCTCACTCAGGCTTCAAGGCCCAGCTCATAAGTCACCTCCTCCCTGAAGCCTTCCAGGGTGGGATTCTTTTCCCCACCCCTTGTTTCCCACTGCATGGCACCTGTACTTCTGTAAGTGCTGAGGCATTGACCGAGCCTTGGTCCATCCATACGTTCCCACCTGAGACAGGGAGGAATTTGTGTCTCAACCAGCTGGCTTCCCTTCCAGAGTGGAATCTTGTGCTGGGTGTGTGGAGCACGCTGGGCAATATTTGCAGGGTGGGTAGGGAAGAGTACTGGGGTGGATAGATGACTTGTAAGATGAAGGTAAGGGCATGGTGGGTGCTAAGGAAGACCCAGCCTTGCTCGCAAAAAGCCCAGGCCCACTGGAAATTAGGGAAGACAAAGCAAACGCTGCAGACACGATTGGGGCGTAGCATAAGAGCAGACAGTAAATGGCTAAATGATCTGGGCATAGGATCCTTTCCATCTGCCGAGATGGTTTTCCTCCAGTTATCTCATTTAACCTCTCAGCAGCCGGCCTGGAGGGGGTGTTTTTTTATCCTCATTTGACTGGGAGTAAAATGAGGCCCAGGGAAGACCTGGTTTGCCTGTGTAGGGATGTGGCGGAGCTGGGACTGGGACTGGGTGTTCTGATGCCAAAAGCAGCGCCTTTCCAATTACCCTCCGGTGGGTTTAAGCATGAAGGGAGACAGGAAGTCAGAGGAGGCTGAGGTCAGTAAGGGTGGGTGGAATCCAGGAACACTTCTTGGAAGAGGAGGCTTAGGCTAGGGCTTTGAATTCCAGGATGGTGAGGCGGTGGGGTGGGGCCGGGGTGGGGCAGGGTATAAGGAGAGTGGGGATAAAGGGGACATGCCAAGTGAGATGGGGCTCCTGAATCTCAGGGGCTGAAGGAGGGGCCTGGAGAATAATTTGAAGGGCCCCGCCCTGGGGCAGAGCCCAGACATCCGGCCTGACCCAGCCCCATTCGCTTCTTTGACTATAAATGGGTTTTCACGCAGCATTTTTAGCTCCATTTGGATTTCCCAGCAGGCTTCTCTCTGCACACCCGATAGTGGTAAGGCCTCAGCTGATTCCTGTCCTAGCTGTAAATCACCACAATCCCTGGAGATTTTCAAACACTGATTATGGCCCCTAAATTCAATTAGCAGATTAAAATTTCTTCATTTGGTTCTTCCTAAGCGAATTTTCAAAAAACAGATACATCCAGGATATCTCCGGCAGCCCGCGTGCGGCTCTGTGCCCTCCTTCGGCGCCCCGCCCCCTGGGTGTGCCCAAGGCCGGCACAGCCTCCGGTCGGTTTCCCTCCCTCTCCTCCCCACTTCCTGAGTCCCCTCTCCTCTTGCCTGACACTTCACTGCACCTGGGTCCTCCTGAGCCTCCCTCCTTCCACCTGGCCCTATAGGTCCTCGGGGTTTCCCTGCTCTTCCTTCTCTGAAGACATCTCTCTATCTCAGTGGCTCTGAGGATGCGCCTGTCATTCCTGGGGTGATGTCCCCTAAACCAGTGTCTCGTCTTTAGAGATTTCCTGCCAAACCTGCCCCTTCCTGTCTGGCCTTTTTTGGGAACCTGTGGCCAAAGCCCTCCAAACCCCACCTGGCCGGTGTCTGCTCCTCAGACCAGAGACGCCCTGGGCTACCTGGCATATAGTAGGTTCGAAAGGTAGGCCACGGATGGATTGGCCCTCTCCCCTGATAGAGTGGGCACAGGGCTGCTGTCTGTCCCTGATCGACACCCCTCGGCGCTGGCCCATCCCCGGCTCCCCGCCCTCACTACAACCCAAGTCCACTGGCGCCCATGCCGGGCCCCGTTGGCTGCTTCCTGCCTTCCAGGCTCCTGTTGTGCGGAGCACCCGCTTCCCTCAGGGCGCCCTGGCCCAAGCCTGGCTGGCGTGTCTCAGAATAACAGCTTCCTACCTCCAGGAAGAAGGACCTGCCAGCAACTAAATAAATACATGTTTTATAGGGTGATTAGTATAATACTTGGAAAGATAAGCTCCTATCCCAGTTTTTAAAACTCTCCCTGCTCCTCTCAGAAATGTTGGCCCTGGAAGGGCAGCCATGGGTCCTGGCAGAAAGCTGGTGAGCCAGGATCTGCTTATAGGGTGCTCCTGGGCACCCCTCTGTGACCACCTCAGCCTAGGCACTGTGCAGGGACTGGGGGGGACATAAGAACTGGAAACCCCTCTCCTTGAAGAGTGTTTACACTGTGGAGGGCACATCATATAACTGTTCTGAGGTGACCAAACCCAATCCTGCAATTAAGTGTATGGCTGAGGAATAAAACTAGGGTGGGGGTGGAGGGGTGCAGCTGGGGAGCAACCGAGGAGGACTTCCTGTAGGAGATGAGTTTCAAGTCAGGAACCAAAGGAGGTAAAAAGAATGGACTGTTTGAGGAGGAACAGTTTAGGCCAGACAGGAGGGATGTGCATAGGCACTGGGGGTGGGGGTGGGAAGTAGCAGTCATTCGGGCAGCAGATCCTTCAGGGGAGGGGGTGAAGCGGCAAGGTAGTGAGGTGACTTGTGGAGAAGAGGTATGCACAAGTAGGGGGATCCATGAAAGTAGAAACTTTCCACCAGCTCTGGGCTGTCAAGTTTTTCAGTTAAGAGGAAATGCAGCCTATCCAAATTCTCCTGCCAGTCAGAAGCCAGGCTGGGCCTAAAATTCGGATCTCCCAGGCTGACCTGGGCATAGGGTCAATGTGAGAAGATTTATTGCCACGTCAAAGTGGTAGTGGCTGAGCCCAGGAGGGCATTAGGTGGGGGCTCCCAAGGGTGTGTGGCACACTGCTTCTTCCCAGCACCTGTCCAGGTTCCCAGGTCTTGGTAAGAGATCTTACCTGCCTGCTGAGATGTATGGAGACTCCCAGCATAAGCTTTCTCAGGTTCGGGCTGCCGCTGGGCCAGTCCCTTGGGTGGCAGGCCAGCCTGGCTGTCCGGCAGGGGGAGGCCTAGGCCTCTCTGTAGATTGGGCCTGGGTCAGGGCCCCCCTCTGGGGTGTGCCTGAGCTCGGCGGCACAAGGAGTGCGAGCCATCTCTGGCTGGCTGAGGACCACACTGCCATCTGGGGCTTCCGCTTCCCAGGCTAAACCAATATTTACCTTCAGCGGTGGCTGCCAGGGGCTGAGAGGCAAATATTAGTTTAAGGAGCCTGAGCCAAGCTCTTGGGGTGGGGGAAAGGGCTGAGGATGGTGATCGTGATTTCTTTCTCTTCGACAGTTTTCCTTTCTTCTTGATTCAAAAATTGTCTTGCTGTTCCTTCTTGCTGAGCACTCACTTTCTGCTCACCCCAAATTCTGCCAAATATGTTAGGGCCCAACCCCACACCGTCCCCTCCACCAGGAAGACTTCCCCGACCTTCTCTGTTCTCGATGACCCTTCTTCCTCTTGGCCATTTGAAGCACATGTAGGTCGAAGTGGTCTTGGCAGTTGTGCATCATGTCCCGCTCTTCAAGAACTGCATAAAACCTCTAAGTATATATTATAAAGAAAGTTATTGTACCCATTTTGCAGATAGGGAAACAGTGGCTCCAAGGGGTCTGGCACCTTGCCCAAGGTCACACAGCTTGGTGGAGCTGCACCTTGAGCCCTGGAGTGTGGGCTGTATTACTTCTCAGCTTCTCTAAATATGAGTCCATCTTGTCTCCGTACTAAGTCTGGATTCCCCCGAGTGTGGGGACTGTGGCTCTCTGTTGTC